AAAAGTAATCTGGTCTCGGATCAGGCTAAGCTCAGCAAAACTGTGGCCGTCAGGGTAGCCGGGGGAGCAGTGTACCGGCTACCTACAGCAAGGGTACATTTGCATTGGGTAGCGGGGTCAGGACACATGGAGGTGGGGTTGATGCCGCAGTTACCAGTGGAGGTTTTATTGGGGAACGATCTGGGGAGGCTCACGTCTGCTTTTGAGCCCCAGACGCCCACCACAGGAGAAGCTCACCCTGCGGTCACCCGACAACAGGCCTGCACCCTCCCGGAGGTTCAGGTAAGAGACCCTTCCCCTTCCTTAGAATGTGTCCCCTGGGCCCCACCTAATGAATTCGCAGCTGAACTAATAACTGACCCTACGCTGCAAGTATATAGGGAAAAGGTTGTCACTGACTCACCCGGGGGGAGGGAGAGAGATTTGTCTGGGACAAGCAGCTTCTATATAGGGAGTCGGACAAGCAGATAGCTGGGTCAGACCCGATAGTGATGAGGCAGCTAGTGGTGCCGCAGTGGTACCGAGCAGAGTTACTCCGGATAGCGCATGATATTCCGCTATCCGGACATTTAGGGGTCAGTCGCAGTAGTTACAGACTGACCCAAAGTTTCTTCTGGCCAGGGATCAGCCAGGAAGTGCGCAAGTATTGCAGTATGTGTGATACTTGCCAGAGGGTAGGAAAAAGGGGAGACCGAAGGAAGGCGAAACTACACCCCCTACCCATAATTGAGGAACCCTTTAGTAGAATAGCGGTAGATTTGATAGGCCCTCTCAAGAAAGCTAGCCCGTCAGGCAAAAGGTACATTTTAACTGTGGTAGATTATGCCACTAAATATCCAGAGGCAGTGGCTCTGACCGATATCCACGCTGAAACGGTCGCGGATGCCCTCATGCGGATCTTCTCCCGGATGGGGTTACCCAGGGAGATTATCTCGGATCAGGGTACCCAATTTACCGCAGAAGTCACCCAACACCTCTGGAGGATCTGTGGCATTAAGCCTATTATCAGTGCCCCTTCCCACCCCAAGACTAATGGGCTCTGCGAACGGTTCAATGGTACATTGAAACAAATGTTCCGAACCTTCGCAGAGACCCACAAGGACTCGGAGTGATTCCTGCCGCACCTCCTATTCGCTTACCGGGAGGTGCCCCAGGAGTCCACCGGGTTTTCCCCGTTTGAACTGCTATTTGGGAGGAGAGTCAGAGGCCCCCTGGTTCTGATTAGAGAGCATTGGGAGGGAGACCGGAGCGCAGATGGCACTCCCATCATACCATATGTGTTGGCCTTCCGAGACCGCCTGGAAGCATTGACTAGGACGGTAAGGGAAAACCTTCAGGCGGTGCAGACCCGCCAGCGCACATGGTATGATCGGGGAGCCAGGGACCGTAGCTTTCAGGTCGGACAGAAAGTGTTGATTTTAAAACCTGTCCGACATGACAAGTTACAGGCCGCCTGGCAGGGGTGGTGGAACAGAGATGCAACACCACCTATATAATCGGCCCCTGCACAGGGACTGGATGGTGATGCATGCTCCATGTGCACATGATGAAGCCTTACCAGGAGCGCTCCGAGGAGGTAACCGCCATATGTGCGCCCAACTCTGACGAGTTTGACAGCTTACCTCTCCCAGATCTGCTGGGAGATGGGCAGTTGTCTGGAGATTTAGGGGAGGTTGCACTGGGAGACCGACTGAGCCCACAGGAGCGTATCGAGGTACAACAGCTATTGGAAGAGAAACGAGACACATTCTTTAATGTACCTGGATACACCCCTCTGGCCACTCACCGGGTAGAGACCCCAGGGCAACTACCCATGCGCCAGACCCCCTACCGCATCCCTGAAGCAGTGAGGGAGAACATGAGCAAGGAGATCGATGAGATGCTCCAACAGGGGGTAATTGAGCCCTCAGATAGTCCCTGGGCTTCTCCTGTAGTGCTTGTACCAAAGCGAGACGGTATGACTCGCTTCTGCGTGGACTACAGGAGATTGAACGAGAAAACCGTGTCTGATGCCTATCCCATGCCCCGGATAGATGAACTACTAGACAGGATGGCCAGGGGCCAATACCTCACTACTATAGACTTATGTAAGGGGTATTGGCAAATTCCCCTGGCCCCAGATGCCATTCCTAAGTCGGCCTTTGTCACCCCATTTGGCTTGTACCAGTTTAAGGTCATGCCATTTGGGATGAAAAACCAAACCTACTTTCCAGAGGATGGTGGACCGACTCCTGGATGGGTTCCAGGACTATACCTGTGCCTACCTGGACGATATTGCCATTTTTAGCAATACGTGGCAGGAGCACTTGGCCCATATAGGAGTGGTCCTAGACAGGATTAGGGAGGCTGGTTTGACATTGAAACCAGCCAAGTGCAGTATAGGGATGGCCGAGGTGCAATACCTGGGACATAGAGTGGGGTGTGGCAAGCAAAAGCCCGAACCAAAGTAGAGGCTCTAGCCCAGTGGCCCACCCCTAGGACTAATCCCCAAGTTTTAGCATTTCTAGGGACAGCCGGGTGTCACGAACACACCCTACTCCAAGAGTGCGCGTGACGTAGTTGTGGTTGTGAAAGGGTTAAAGTTCACTATTTGTCTACACTAGACCGGAAATAATGACAAAATCCCCCTTTAACACCACCCACACTTAAACATAATAATATAACTATTTAACGCTGCCACCACCAAGACAATTTACAAATGGGGTGCCTTGGTCCCCCAGGTAAATCAATAATAAAACCCACCAAATATTACTTAGTACAATATTTAAGGAATTATAAAAATACTAACTAGTCTCTTCAGGTAACGTGATTCTTAACCAGACAAAGGCAAAACTTAATAAATGAATGTTTATTATGAGCAAAAGATAGTCACAGTGCATATAAAAATATATGATAAACAAATTATTTACACCAACAACAGATAAAAACAAAAAGGATAAAATACAGAAGTCCTAATTACTCACTTAGGTTTTCAAAGTACAACTTCTGTCCAGGGGGTCTCTGGCAAGGAAAGATGGTGACTCACTCAAAATTAGATCTTGGCCCCAAGCAAGTACACCAACACCCTTCAGGATCATTAGATATATACCCTGTGGTTTATCAAGTCTTGCCCAGGGGTGGAGTTAAGGCATACCTACAGTAATAATAACTGACCACCTCCTTTGTTCCAGACCACTGTCAGTCCAAATGGAAACATTTGACTCTATCTTCTTTTTTGTACCTGCCACAGAAATAATAATTGCATCTACAAATTTGTTATTATTTTCCCATTCCATAGACATGTTGCACGTCCCACCCACGATCCAATAGGACGGACATCACAATTCCTTTCCCTAGGGTCAAGTTAGGCCACTCATGTTTGGACTTGGTTAGAAGATGGCGCTTGTCACATTCCAAATATAACAAAAATGAGGCTTTATTATTATTCTGTGGGGGTAAATATGAATGTTTTTTGTCCTTCCTTTGGATATGATACTATAACAAAGCTAATGGCATTTACATATCAAAGAGATTTACTCATCCCTTACAAGGTACATGCCAAATGGATGAAGAGTCATTCAGGCTTTTTCCAAGTGTAGAACCTCACACCTTGCAGAGCTTTTATTACTTCACATCCATATAGTAAAATCCTTTTCACATTCCTATGCCATTCACACTACCCCTTCTGTCATCTGACCTCTGTGGGGGTCCCAGCTTCAAAAGATGTAACCCCTGTTGACCTCAGCAATAGCATCTCTGTAATTTGTGCCATTTACTACAAGAAGTCACATTAAAAGATGATATTCCATAGTGTCATAATAAATTATACACCCTTGCCGTGACACTGGGTATTACAGAAAGTTTGTCCCCAATTATAGTGGCCTGGCCAAACCCCTCACCGACCTGACCCGGAAGAATCTGCCCCGCCAGGTGACCTGGACCCCGGAGTGTGAACAGGCATTCCAGCATCTGAAAAATGCACTGATAAATGCCCCTGTCTTGGCAGCTCCCAATCCAACTAAACGTTTTCTTGTTCACACAGACGCTTCTATGTTTGGATTGGGGGTAGTACTGAGCCAAGTCGGGGCCGATGGCGGAGAACATCCGTGGCTTACATCAGTCGCAAGTTACTACCCCGCGAAGTAAGCTACACAGCCATCGAGAAGGAATGCCTGGCTGTGGTGTGGGTCCTAAAGAAACTGCAGCCGTATTTGTATGGACAGCCCTTTTCATTGCTTACGGATCACAACCCGTTGGTATGGCTGAACCGGGTGGCTGGGGACAATGCCAGGCTGTTGCGCTGGAGCTTGGCGCTGCAGCTCTTTGACTTTAATATTCAGTACAGCCCGGGTAAACAGAATGGGAATGCTGATGGGTTGTCAAGACAAACTGACCTGGAGAAGTGATACGTGAGCCCCCGGACATCCCCAAGCCGATCTGTGCTTGTGGGCAAGGGGGAGCAGTGTAGCGGATGGCACTGGGCTGTCCTGAAAATTGCATGTGTATAACTGTATTCGGGTAAATTGCTGGTTTTTATGTGTCTAAATAACGTGTATTCGTCTGATTGTTCAGTAGAATCATTCGAACAAACTAAGGGAATGAAACTCCCGAACAGTCAGACCTCCCCTGTGTGAAGTGTGCCTTCAATTACCCATTGCAACAATTTTTGCGAATGGGTAATTAACAAGCTATGCAGTAGGTCCTTTGTTCTTGGGGTGGCCGCCATTCGGGAAACGAACACGTGGCGGCGGCCATTTTAAAACTGCGGTGTTTTGCCGTCGAGTGTCTGGAACCCAAATCGGCACTCGACTAGGCGAACACCGCTGAGACCTCCACAAGCCCGGTCCGTTTGGTTCTAAACTACCGAACGGCCCCTCGTTCGGTAGACAGAAACAACCCAACGAGGGGATTCATGCGAACACTACCTGATCTCTGTAGCCTTAGCCTTTCGTGCCATTTATTCCCTTATACTGTGACCGACCGCAGGGCCCCATCACATGGAACCCAATTCGGCTGTTCTCTCCAGCGCGGTCGGTCTTTTTAGTACCTCCATGAAATTCCTGAAAACCCCTGGTTCGATCTGGGTGATTTTTGGATATGTTGCTCACCCAGATCAGGGCTACCAGGGGATGTGCCATTTAAAAGGGTACCCCTAGGTTTAGGGGTACATCCAGAAACTGGGGTAATTTGTGTACAGTATAAGGGGATTATGAGTCAGGCTGCAGGGAGGAGATCTGTGGGAGGTTACTACTGCCGGATTGGATACTGTAGTAATTAATGGAAATCCCTCCCTTGCATGGGAGCATGCTTTATAAGGCCACTGTGAAATAAAGGTTTTTTGTTCTGCTCCTGATGCTGTGTGTCGTCCAGTTATTGGGATTGCTGTTGGGATATTGCTAAATTATTTTACCTGATGGAAACCTTGCTTTATGGATTTATAATTACTTGTTCCTGAGAATCACTGGGATCTTAAGTGGAGATAACCTGTAGAATACTGGATCTCCGCTACACTCTCCCTAGCGACAAATTCTCAATTGGGTTGCGGGTGTAGTGGAGGAAACTGCTCAACTGACACCCTCCGAGCAGAAGAGGTGGCATCAGGGCAGTACGCAGCAGACCTCTGCCCTACCTTTCCATTGGTTTGATGACTGTAGCGGATGGCACTGGGCTGTCCTGCAAATGTCCTTGAAATAATTGCATTTGTGTGATCTGCTAGTTTTCTATGTGTTTTAAAGCCTTGTATTCTTTTGATTGTTCGGTAGTTTCATTCCCTTAGTTTATTCGAATGAAACTACCGAACAACCAGACCTCCCCTGTGTAAAGTGTGTCCTCAATTACCCGTTGCAACATTGTTGCGAACGGGTAATTGACTAGGAAGTAGCCGTCCTTTGTTCTCGGGGGTGGCCGCCATTCGACAAACGAACACGTGGCGGCGGCCATTTTAAAACTCCCGAACAGCGGTGTTTTGCCGTCGAGTGTCTGGAACTAAAATCGGACACTCGAGTAGGCGAACACCGCTGAGACCTCCACAAGCCCTGGTCCGTTCGGTTCCAAACTACCGAACGGCCCCTCGTTCGGTAGATAGAAAATACCGAACGAGGGGATTCAGGCGAACCCTCCCTAGCCTCTATAGCTAGAGGTTTTCATGTATTTTATTCCCTTATGCCAGGACCGACCGCAGGGCCCATTCACATGGAACCGGATTCGGCTATCTCTGTTCGTGCGGTCGGTCACTTTATTCCCTCCATACTTTTCCCGAACCCCTGGTCTGATCTGGGTGATTTTTGGATATGTTGGTCACCCAGATCAGGGCTACCAGGGGATGTATGATTTAAAGGGGTACCCCTATGTTTAGGGGTACATCCAGAAACGGGGGGAATTGGTGTGCTGGATAAGGGGATTATGATGCTGGCTGAGGGGAGGGGATGTGTGGGAGGTTACCAGGACAGGATTGGCTACTGTAATAATTACTGTAAATCCCTCCCTTGCATGGGAGCATGCTTTATAAGGAGACTGTGATTAAAGGCTTGTCAGTTCTGCTCCTGAAACTATGTGTCGTCCAGTTATTGGGATTGCTGTGGGGATATTGCTGCTGTTTTACCTGCTGGAAACTTTGCCTATGGATTTATTATTTACTTGTTCCTGAGCCTCACTTGGATTATAAGCGGAGATAACCTGGGGAATATTGCATCTCCGCTACAATGACAAACAGGCCAACCAAGCTGAAATGCTAGCTATAGGGCATAATGACGGTGACCTCTGCCCACCAAGTCTCCATAAGTGTGGTTAGACAACCGGTCCCACTCCCTAGTGGCAGTATGGTTTAAAGGTAGAAGGGACAACCGGTCCCTCTCCCCAGCAGCAGGAGTTACCCCCTAGAGCGGGGAATTGCGCCCTCCATCCCCAGCAACGTGGTCCACATGAAGATGCTAGATGTGCAAATGAGAGCTTGTGGCAGGAGGCCAACTGCACCCTGTGGGAAAGGTCACCAGACTAACACAGACCCATTACCCCTGCTTCACTACCATCTCCCGAAGTAGAGAACCCCTATCCACTGGGCCTGGGAAGTCCTCCAGTCTGCAGCTGGGACCAAGGTCTCTCCATCGGCCCTACAGGGATACTGGGCAGCCGGTCCAGATCCCCAACCACAGCTGGAGATACCAGAAGAAGAGACAGCTGGTCGAACTGGATAATGATGTCTCTTGCTACATATATAATTCATATAATGATTTGCATGAAATAATGATAACATTCTAGGTGATTCTCAATGTTTTATTCACTGGTGAAGGTTCACCTTTAGGACCCCCATGATTGTTTGATATTGCTGTTTTGCTGTTGATGTATACACCCCTATGTAGCGGAGTAGTAGTATTATCCACAATATCTCCGCTGGTAAACAGAATCCAGCAGGCACAAAGCAGGTAAAATCCAGGTAGCATAGTTACAATCCCTTCCTCCCAAGAACTAGATGACACATAGCTTGGAGGTCAACTGAGGCTTTATTTTCAGGTCACGGTATTTATGGGATTCCCCATGCAAGGGGTTTCCCTACTGACATTTCAGGGGTGGTACAGTAGAGGACTACATGGGGACGAGAGGGATACTCCCACTGGAATATACCGTTAATGGGATTATCCCTCCGTGCAGCAGAACTTAAATTTTTCATTAAAATGTATAATTTTAATAATATTCACTTGTTTTACACGAATAGACGTTCGGTAGATAGCTGGAGGCTGAGCGCATACTTCGTGAGAATACCGCTCAGCTCCCAGTCTAACTAACCGAACACGGCACGAAATACACATTATTTCTAACATAGGTTTAAAATACCAATTATTATAAGGGGAATAAACTACCGAACGGCCGGGGTTCCCGAACGCCCTGGAAGTCCAGCGGAGTTCGCGCCGTCGAGTAGCCGTTTTTAGTTCCAGGCGCTTGACGGCAAAACACCGCTGGGCTAACAAAAGAATCAAGATGGCCGACCGCCGCGTGGTCGGTAGTCGAACGACGGCCACCTAGAAACACGCTTAATTACCGATTGCCATGGGCGTCCGCAGGAGTTTTTCCGGGGGGGGCATAATTGTAATGACATCCATGCTTGGTACTTTTTTGACAGTGTCATGAAAGGGAAGGGGCATAGCCATTATCACATAAAGCCAGGGTGAATAGCGTTTTCACAACTATGGTGTCAGGAATATATGTTTGTATTCCTGACACTATAGTGTTCCTTTAAGCAAATTAAAGGACCATTCTGGTCACTATAACAACATCACCTAAATGAAAATGCTATGATGCCAGGAAGCCCCTGGGTGCTCGCTTTCCTTTAAGGGGTTAAATCACTCTCAAATAGTTTAACCCCAGTTGACGCTCTAAGCCAATCGCTAGTTCCCGGTTCATAAAACATTTTTACTTTTTTTATGAATGGGGAGCTACTGATTGGCTTAGAGTGCCAGCTGACCGCTCTAGCCAATCAGCAACACCCCTACCCAACGGCACTCTGTGCTTCCTGACACTCAGTAAATAAAAGTGAACACATTAATACTGATATTTTTTTTAACTTTGGCGATGAGAAGGTCCAGCCTTTCCCTGCCTGGCCAAGGTACCAAAGCCTTATGATGTGGTGTCCAGAATAAAGTGGAGGGTTCACTTAATTTGGCCTTCCTGCTCCAATCTCCTTTTTCCTCTCCTTCATTTGACAGTCTTTTTTTTTCTTCTGACACTGTTTTCTATCCTTGGCCCCTTCTGCTCTTTTACGTTTCTGCTACTTTCTGCTTATTTTGCGCCCTTCTGCTCCTTTCTCATTCTGATCCCTTTCTGCTCCTTGCAGACCCTTTCTGCTCCCTTTTCTACTTTATCTTTGTGCTCCTTGCTGTCCCTTTCTGCTCCTTCTCCTACTTTACCTTTGTGCTCCTTCCTGCTCCTTGCAGGCCCTTCCTGCCTCTTCTCCTATTTTACCTTTGTGCTCCTTCTGCCCCTTCCAGCTCATTTCTGACCCTTTCTGCTCCTTCTACTTTACCTTTGCGCCGCTTTACCTTCCAGCTACTTGCTGACCCTTCCTGTTCATTTCTATTCCTTTGTGCTCCTTCTCCTACTTTACCTTTTGTGCTCCTTGCTGCCCCTTCCAGCTCCTTGCTGCCCCTTTCTGCTCCTTGATGTCCCTTCCTGCTCATTTCTGTTCCTTCTCCTTTTCTTACTTTACCTTTTGTGCTCCTTGCTGACTCTTCATGTAGGCTGTCTCCCCCATCCCTCACTTCCATAGGCATGCGCACGGGGTGTGTCGGGTGTGCATGGGCACACCAATGGATTGAGACCTGCAGGGGAGATCTCTGGATCTCCCCGGTCGGCTCATGCAGAGCCGACGCTATCCGAGCAGCGGCTCTGGTCTAAGCCTCCATGGGCCGGTGGGGAGATCAAAGTTCTACCTCACTGGTCCACAGCGGCATGGAGGGAGGAAGCAGAGAACCCGGGCTAGAGTTCACTCTCCACTGAACCACCAGGGAAGGCAGCAGGACTGGGATATTAACTAATCTGCCCCCACCTCCACCCAAACATACAGCACACACACACAGCACCTACACACAGCACACACAGCCCACAAACAGCACCCACACACATACATCACCCTCGCACACACAGCACCCATACACACCCAGCACACTAACAGCATCCTCACAAACACACAAAACCCACACACAACACCCGCACAGCACCCACACACAAACAGCACACTCACACACAAACAGCACCCTGACAAACACACAACACACGCACACTAACAGGACCCAAACAAACACGCACACACACAGCACACTAACAGCACTCTCACAAACACACACAAAAACACCCCCACCCACATAGCACACTACCAGCACCCTCACACAGCAGTGTATATATATATATATATATATATACATATACATACACACACACATACATATACACATGGCGTGTGTTTGTGCTTTAGGGTGCACACCCTAATGCAATAGGCTGCGCACGCCTATGCTCACTCCCCTAATCTATGGGCTGCTGCCCCCCGCCTCACTCCCCTAATCTATAGGCTGCTGCCCCACCCCCCCAAATCTATAGGCTATCTCAATCCCTCCCCCCATCCCTCACTCCCCTAATCTATAGGCTGCTGCCAAATCTATAGGCTGCTGCCCCCCCAAAAAAATCCCCCCCATCCCTCACTCCCCTGATCTGTAGGCTGTCTCTGGCTGTATGTGTTGCTCCCCTGCGGTTTCAATCAGCAGAGAGAAGCAGGGATAAGATGCAGCTTTCTATCCCTGTCTCTCTCCATACACAGCGCCACCTACTGGCCGGCGCCGATATTGCAGTTCATTTTAAATCACACGAAAAATAGCAGAACAAGCTGAAAAATCCAGGGGGGGGGGCAAGTGCCCCCTCTTGCCCCCCCTGCGGACGCCCATGCCGATTGCAACAATGTTGCAATCGGTTAATGGGCGCCACACGACCCCCTGTGTGTGGTCGTGCATTCGGTAAGTTATTCGTTTCACGAACAGTGTTTAACTCACTGTTCGTGAAACTACAGTATGAATGCTGGGGTTTTCCTACCGCCAGCATACGAATGCCCTCATTCACCTGAAATACAATAGAATCCTGCACTGATCTCTATGGCTTTAGCAAGAATACAAAACTACTGTAACCGTGGCTGGTTCCCTTATTTACCACTATAATGTCTTAAAGCATAGAACTTAGTAGGGCTAACCATACAGATATCTTAGCCATAATTTTATATAGTGTAAGAGATCCTCTATTTAACATATATAAATAATTGAGAATATAATATAAAATAAGGATTGTCTTGGAAGCAATCGTTTTGTCTTTTTGGATATTTATTATATAAAAATATAAAATCCATTATAGCAGAGTTTATAAGATTAAATTACATGCTTGCAAATATCATTAATAGGTTAACATACCCTTCTGAACATGTCATCATGTCAGCCTCTCTGTCATTTTAAGATGGAACAGCGTCTGTCTCCAAGTCTCTCCTCTGTGTCTTAACATTTAAAAGTACACCTATTTATACCTTAGGTGTCTCCATTTTAGGGTTACCGTAGTTCATTTACTTTATTCATTTTAGGACCTCCCTTAATTTGGCAAACATACAAGGCCATAACAGAAGGGTGCATACGTCATGGAAATTTTCCTGACTTAGTTCAAGATGGCATCTTAAAGTCTGAATAGGTTATCTGTTGTTTATACTAAGTCGTAAGTGTACAGTCGTGGGAGATTCCCGGATTTGGGGAAGTTCCATTAACTTGGGGTTACCACAGTATATTGTGTACTGCAAGTGTCGTAGTATAGCCTTGAAGCTTGTTTATGCATTATTGTTATTGTAATTCGTCTGGGACAAAATGGCGCAAACATATTATGCACTGAGGTTATTGCTTAAAGAAACAGTTATGAAAAACAATATGTTCCATTTCTAACACCTTGTCAGTTTGCAATATCTCTTAAAGACAAAGTACACAGTTTAAGAAATACAACATTTCATTCTAAAACTTGTAATATTTGCATTTACCCATAGCACTACTGATACATTTGTAGATGCGAATATCCATTATGCTTAATATCCTAGCTGTTCATATAAGGGTTAATTTGAACCAAGAATAAATTTGGAATTGTATCTCCAATTCTCGAAAATAAAACTTATATAAAACATATCTATTTATGGGAAATGTTATTGGAACATGATTTTGTTATGTTCCTGGAAAAGGATATTTACATGACATGACATGACATGACATGATAAGGATTCTGGAATGACCTTGTTAATTGTCCAAGATTTCGGTATTTGTAATCATCTGGGTTTTATCCAATATGCATACATTATGTAACACCGAATTATAACTAAAAACAACTTGTGAAAAATAAACTATGTCACAATGCTCAATGACCCCCA